GGTCGTCCTTCTGCGGGGGGATTGGGAAACGAGTGTGGTCGGGAAGGGAGGGGAGGGAGGGTAGTAGGGCAGGAATGAGGGAGGGTTAAGGGGAGGGATTGGAAAGGTCCAAGAGAGAAAGCGGGTTAGGAATTGTGAGGGGGGATATCAGGCCGGGAGAAGGACGAAGTTGGTCGGTTGGAATGAGAACTGAAAATGACATCTTGGTAATCGTTCTCATTGTGGTTTCGTCAGCATCCACTGTTTCCATCGCAGCTGGTTATCATGATCCAATTCGCAGAGTTTTTTTGCACTGTCCACCCAGATAGAGCGAAAGTTATCCGAGAGTTCATTCCGTTTGTTTATATCTGACTCCTTCCGCAACATATTTATGAGCTCTTGCCAGACCTCATGTGTGTTGACGATGATTGTTTCTAGAATCGAGGCTCGAGCCTCCATGAAACCATATGTATGTTGCCTGTGCTCATGCGCACATCCCATTCGCCACGCAACCATTAACATTGGTAGTCTTGTTACTGCCAGCAAGTTAAGACTAAATGGTGTCCACCTGGTGCTTTGCAGGAGCATTTCCCCCAAAAGGATGATCTTGAGGTCCCATGGGAGGTGGTTGCCAGTTAGATGATGCCATGCTGCATCCCACCATTGCCAGAGTTGAGCAACCATGGTACAGTCCACCAGGCAGTGTTCGAGTGTAGCTCGTTTCTTAGGGGAGGTCCCACTGCAGTAGATGCAGAGTGGAGACAACACACCTCGGTCTTCCAAATTTGTTCTAGACACAATCCACTCTGGGTAGGTAGACACCTGTGGATGATCTGCCACTGCAGTGCCCGCAGGTTTGTAGGTCGTATGGCTGCGTATGAGGCCCATCTGATTGTGTCCATGTCTTCTTCTTTGAGAGGCGAGTCCCTTGCCCACCACAGTTTGATCGGTTCAGATATGTGTGCTGGTCCTTGCTGTTGTACCCATCCTTCACCGTGTACTGCCATATCTGCAATTTATGAGAGGCCCCCCTGTCCCATTCCCATCCTTGTGGGTTGAATGGCAGCTGGCAGAGGGGTACAGCTGGCTCATATACAAAGGGTCCTTTGTTATTATCATTGATCACACATATTCTAACGAGTCTTGCGGCAGGTGTCCAACGGTCCAGGGTGTCTTGTCTGTAGCGAACCTCGGGTTGGCCTGTGAGACCAACCCCTTGGCCTGTTCTCACAGGCCTGTGTTATATTCGGGGTAGGCCAGTCCAGGCCGGTACCTCTGTCGGTACCAGCCAGTCCAGTCCAGTCCCGTCAGTCCGCTGGGGTATACCCCAGCCATTGTCTGTTTTCAGTCTCATTCCTCACTTGCACATTTTGGAGTACGTGCGTTGGAGTCTTGCGTGGGGAGCTGCGTTGTGCTATCTTGCTCCCCCTTCTTCCTCTATCTCCATCTCTGTCACTAGCGGAGTACCACACCTGGTGGGTCCGCTACATTGTCGGTCAAATTTGGACCATCTTTCTCCTGGGAGTCGTGGTGTGTATGCCCTAAGGCTCACCCCTCGAGGACTTACCTCCTCTACAGTATATATCACCATAGGGATCGGTCAGTCCTCTGATTGCACCACCCAGTCCCCCGACTGTATTGTCGGGCTTCTTTTGAGTTCCAACACCCATGCCAGGGGAACAGCCTCTTGGATCTTTTGCAGTCCTTATTCCGACTTTCTAACGTGGTGCAACTTTTGTCGAAGGTCCTGGACCGATAGCCACGCGCCTGTGTGAATATTCCACAGATCAGCCACTGTGTATATCCCTTTTCTCACCCATGCGAGTCATCTCAAGCCCGTTTACAGCGAAAAGGGATTACCTGTATGATCTAATATGAAGGGGTTCCCAAACAGGGGTTGTCTCTATATTTCGTCCCATCTAAGCGGGACAGGTTTCTGGGTTAGACCTCGTTCTCTCCACAACCTCAGCATATCTACCCATAGGGGGTCGACCTTGAGATCTCATTTGGCAGTGGAGGCGGGCGTACCATCCCTTCTGTTCTGAGGCGATGCGGGGAGCGACCAGTAATTGTTAGTTAGCCATTGTACTGGATGGACTCGGTTGCTATCTGTGCATTGTGGGGCCAGGGCGGAGATCTGAATGGCTGCATATGGTGCCCAGGGGATATCATTGCCTAACAACCATCTTATTAGGAACTTAAAAATCAAAGTTTTTATTTCATTCTCCGGGTCTATTATGCCTACCCCCCCCTTGGCTCGTGGCTGTGTGATGATGTCCCATGCCACCCTCCTAATACACGTGGTGAATACATTGTCCCCTCGCCAGAGGTAGGCGGACGCAGCCCGTTTTAATGACCTTAACTGTCACCAACTTAATTGCCAGAAGGCCACTTTGTACCATAAGGCCGCAATTATGGCGTTATTGATCGTCAGTGCTCTACCAATCAACGAGGTGTGTGTTGTTTTCCAAGCATTCATGTGTTGAATTGCTATGCCCACCAGTTTGTCACCGTGGTCATAAGGGGGGCCGAGAGCAGTGAGGTTTACCCACAGGACTCTGATAGCAGCACCCCTAGGTTTCCAGTCAACCCTTGGTGCATCAGGTGGTGGGTTGTCATTTACGTTGAGCCACCATCCCTATCATCACCTAGGCTGAGAACAAGGGGGGTGAGGGGTTTCTGCTTGAGTCTGGATGGAGACCCCTGGTGAGGGACCTGCTATTGGTAGTAAGCCACTGGCGAAACGGAGTTCCAGGACCAGGGCCTACTGTTGCTATGTCCATGCTAACAAAACGTGAACTTGACCAATCTTGCCACCAGGTTCATCATGTTTTTGTTGGGCACAAAGATGGTATGGGTGGGGCCTGCCCCTCAGTCCCGGATGTGGGCCCCTTTTATGGTGTTGAGATCCTTTAAATTAGTCTGTCACATCTGGCCCTTTTTTTTTTTTTTTTTTTTTT